GCGAATCCTTCAATGCCAGTTTTAATAAGGTTTCTTGGATGTAGTCATATTATTTTAAAATCACTTGACTTTTATGAAAACATATATAATGTCCTTGCCGTACCAGTTTAATTCAGCCTTAGAGGGGTTTCCTTTGCAAATCATCATAAAGTTAAGTCCGTGTTTCCTACAAAATAGTAGCACTTCCGATAACATCCTTGTTCATTGTTTGTGGGAATCTTCGTATTGTAGGTGTTCTTCTTTTATATAGGATGATAACGATAATATTTTTAAAAAATCTCGATTTCTGCTACTTGGTGGCGTTCTATGACTTTCCTATGTTTCCTTGGAAAGCAATTACGACCTTTAAGGGCAGTTTATGAAATAATGGATAGTTTTGCGCTAGTTTTCTCGTCATGACGAACATTTTAAGTATATGGTTTATGGGGGTATGACTTGTAGTTTTCACAAAAGTTAATGTGTACTTTGGGCTTTATATTGATAAACTAGTGGCTTGTAGGGACATAAGTCCCTAAAAAGCTCAAATGTAAAACAAACTATTGTAATATTTAAACAAACTCAGAATAAAATTATCTATGTGTCAGAATCGATACAGTGCTACAATACTACATGTACTCATATTAGTACCCTGGCCCAGTTATTATTTCTAATATTATAGCTCTACTCCTTTTGTAAAGGCACAACTGAATTAGTGTAAAGGCTGCCCTATAAGTTATAGTTGATTATAGTTTCGTTTCTGATCAACATAAAATATAAACTACTCTCTGTGTCAGCTTATGTGGTGGTATTCCTCCTAAAGCTGTGGTTGATTTTATACACTCTTTAAAATAGGCCAATTTAAACGTTCAATGGGTTCATAGTTTGTTAAGACCATAGTAAAGTATTTATTTGTTAATCCGTTATAATTTTTAAGTTAATAACACAGCGCTGTCTGATGTTATGATGCAATGTACAGATAGCCGACAGCTAAGCCATATCAGCTATAGTCATGTTAATAGTATATTATTTTTCATTCAATGGATGTAAATTTTGTTTGAAAACATTTTACCGTTTATATTATTTATTTAGCCTACAGTTAAAAAAGCGAATCATCGACTGATTACTTGCCATTGGTTAGGGTTCCATTATCATGTTAATGAAACCAATCAAGAAAACAAATTCATCAGCATTGATATAGGTACATATTTTTGGTTAGTGAAACATAAAGAATCGGAAACTACCTCCAGGGTTTACTGTTATATATTCTATCTTTACTATCTATATAGATTGTATATATATACAATGCATGTTGGGCTATATTATTTTAACCTTTTTTCCTTGGAGCAACAGACAGTAGATACCTGGTTAAAATCTACTCCAAACAATTTTATTTTTCCGCCCATTGGAATTTGTTATAGTAATTAATGAAAGGAATATATGTATTGCCTGTACAAACCTATTTCAAATTTTATTCCCAGGTTATTCTCTAGAGTAACTGTTAAGGGGATCCAGGCTTCAGAAAGTGAAAAAATTGCCAAAATTCACTTCTTTTTTTTTATAGTATTTTATTGTTATTTGGTTATTTATGTACAAGAAAATATAAGTTTTATAGGTATCCTACACGTTTTTCATAACAAAAAATATATTTTCCCCAGATACTACATGCGCGCGTCTTAGTATTTTCTAGGACTTCGATCGCGATTCCCCGAAAGTTGTGGTTTTTAGTGTTTTGTAACAGAAAATTTGATATATCTCAGCCAATTTTTGTCCTATCATGTTGAAAATTTTACCAGATGTTCTTTATAGTATTTACAAACTTTTGGGTATAATTATTAATATAAGTCAAATAGTTAAAATAATAAAAAAATTTTATTTGAAATATAGTATAAGAATTTTTTTTTTGTTTTTCAACCTTTATAAAATAAAAACTAATTATCCTACAAACAAAGTAATACCCAGGATTTCAGTAAGTGTACATAGCTACAAAAAGACACCTAGTTGAACAAAATTGATCAACTATTTTATGAGTTATATCAAAAATAAAAATGTGTTACGTTATGATACATAAAAATACATAAAATGGTACTGTGGTACATAGAGTGGCTACAACAAATAAAATAACAGTTTTTAGGCCCATTTGATATAATAAATATCTTAAAAAAATGATAAACATAAAAAATTTAAAAAATGTATTTTCTGAAGCCTGGATCCCCTTAAGGTTATTCCACTCGATAAAATCATAGATTAAACACTACAATTACGTGTCAAATTAAATGTTATGAAATTTAAAACAAAAGTTTTGAATAAATTTTCAACATATGTTTTGAAATAAAAACAAAACAGAAGTTTTCTAACTAATCTTGCATCGTTGATTATTTAGTCAATGGGGCTATTTCATGTTAAACATTCCTTCAGCACAACAATAACCTACTAATGTGAAGAAATGTAATCAAAGTAAAATAATTTTGTAAACTTCGTGAACATATGTTTAAAGAAACCAAATCTTAAATGTTTCAGCCATTCTACTTCCATTTACTTTGATTTTAACCATCTCCCACGATTCTACTAAATTTCATGCGCTTGGCTAATTTACATACAAATACACAAATTTGCAAATTGCACAGTAAAATTAATTTCAACATTCTAAGACATAACGACAAAAGTCTCAATTGTAGGTAACGTCATCCCTGGTTTTATATAGTATACAGTACATTGCAGAATTTACTGGCAAATGAGTTAAATCCAAATGTAATATTGCTTACTGGCTTAGATGAATCACGATCAGCTGTATTGAGGTAAACAAAAATCAACAGACAAATGGCTTCTAATGCTATTCTTATGGAGAACATTTTACGTTATATTATTGACTAAGTCAAAGGTTTTATCTAATTTTGTGTTAAAATTTGGGGAATTTCACTATTTTTCCGGGATCGAGACCTTTAATTTGAACCCTCTCCCGTCGTTCTACGACTACCCAGTCGCCCACAATTTTGACGCAAAGAATCGGCTTTCGTAATTAATATATAGATAGATATTTAATTTCCACAAAATCAGTTAATGTAACCAATGCGTTTCGTTGAATTGAAAAATAAAGAACACAATTAAATTAAACAGCTGATGTAAACAATATTATGTTCTTCGAAAGGATAACATGGGAACTTAAAAAGCCACTGTGGCAGAGGCCAAGGGACTTTTTCAAAAAATTTAGGCCAGTTTGCAAATCTACGCAACACGCTCTTTCCAATGAGACGTCAGTGGATAAAATCGGTTAAGAAATGGTGGAGGATTCAACCGACAAACTTCGTGTTCGCGTATTAATTATATAGATTTCATATGTGCATGAAATGTTGGTGTGAAACCAACTTGTATAACTTTAAGCTAAATGGTTTAAGTTACCTGGCTTCGTCAAGTGATCCTTCTTCAGTATCACACTACTATAGTTTCGGACTTGAAAATAAGTCCATCTTCAGAAAACGTCAATAGGTCATCTAACCAAATTGGTTAGATGACCTATTGACTTTTTTGTTAACCTGAAGATGGACTTCCAGAGGCTACCTCACCATGTATACCTTTGAAGTAGAGGCTATATTTATTCCCAAAAGGTATCAAACGCCAGATCCTGATCAAATCTTTTCTATCACTTTAAAGTTTGTTTCGTGTTTTTAGTCTTCACGTACAGAGACTTAAATCTTTGTATTAAATTGTTAGCAATCATAAATCGTGGACAGAATCTTCCACAAAAGATAAATACAATATAGTTCAACACCCTAGAACTCCTTAAAAAAAAAAATGTTTTGTTAAGGCTTCGTCATAATGTTAAAAATACTCAATACAACAAATTCATTAATTTTACATATGTAAACGTTGATAGTTGTGTGCGTATTGTATTTTAATATATCTTCTGTATACATATAGTCCTCTATATTTTCTGTGTACACAAATGCTTCTGTATACACGTTTTTGCAACTCACAGTAACTGAGAAATATTCTAAACTGGTGAACTGTTTTTATAAATTTTTGCCATTATTTCTCAACCCGTGCTTAAAAAATTAGTGACTCGTGGATAAATCCAGATACGAAATTTAATCTAAATCGGACCACAGGTTTTGTCTGTAGCTCTGTATCAGGATCATACAAGTGTGTATTATATAACCTGATATTAGTCAAAATATGTTTTATTCTATAACGTTTAATTTAATTAAACATAAAAGTCATGCTCCCTCCATTTTTAAAGTATTCAGTCCAAAAATGTAATAAATTTACTTGTGCATACATATTTATTTCGTTTTAATAAATAATTGAGGTGATGCAATACACTTATGTAGGCAGTCGCAGCAGTCGAATCCGGGCATAGCGCCTAAAGTTTCACGAACGCAAACCGCGCAACGAGTAGCTAAATGAGCCGTAGAGTAAGTGAGCCATCTAATATTTTGAAGAGGGTTCACTTACTCTACGGATCATAGTGCCAATGAACTGTAGAGTAAGTGAGCCATCTAATATTTTTCTGCAGGCTCGTATAGTATACGAGCCTATTCCTATAATTTATATTATTCATTATTTTGGCTCGTATACTATACGAGCCGATTCCTAAATTATCAAATAATTCGTAAGCTTGGCTCATAGTCACTATGATCTGTAGAGTAAGCGAACCTTCCTACTGTATTTTTAAATATAATACACGAGGCTCATAGGCACAATGATTCGTAGAGTAAGTGAACCCTCTTCATTTATTTTTTATTTTCGATAGGCTCGTATAGTATACGAGCCTGTAGTGCAAGTGAACCTTCAATATTATTTAAAAAGCTCGTATAGTCTATGATCTGTAGAGTAAGTGAGCTGTCCCCAATAATTTTTCAATTACTAAACCTTCGTTTTTAGTCAATCAGAAGCCTCTAAATGACACTGTTGGCAAAATTAATCCTGAAATACAAATTGTGCCTCCGCTACACGGTGCACAACAGCACAACACACAGACAGACATAAACATACCAACATAACATAACCTCTTTTCTTTGTGTTTATAAAATTAATAGCCTATCTCATTTAAATTCAATCATAATAGAGTTGTACATTTTAATGATTTGATATTGCATTTTGTTTGTAACAGTTTATTGTTTCTTTCTTTCTATTGTTGTTGCTTTTCTTGACAAAAAACATTTATTTTATGTAGGCTATACCGGTAACCAATATTAAGTTACCTAACTCAGAATTAATTAAAATATAGCCTACCTACTCTGGAGTACGCCCAAGTTATTTATTCACATATTTTATTTGTTTGGAATTAATAAGCTTAGTTATGATTTTGAAATATACATTGTTTACACTGACAGTTTCAGTAGTTCCACTCTTTATTATATTAAAAGATGCAAAATCCTTCAATTTTATTCCTAAAGTAATCCTGGACAGCGTATCAGTAGTTAATTCTGAATCCTTTAACCAATTATTAGCATCTGGTATCTTCACATACTTCACAGCCATTGGTGTAATAAAATCAGAGGAAACTGATAGTGCCTCTAACTCTTTGTTTACGGAAGAAGAAATTAAACAGTTTAACGGAATCAGTAAAGATAAACGACTTTACCTCGCAATATTAGGCAACGTATTCGACGTTTCAAAAGCTGCCAAATATTATGGGCCTGGTGAGACGTACAATGCATTTACAGGTAGGCTAATTGTTCCAATATTTATTCATTATTAGGTATGCTACACTAAAGTCTCAATTAGGCTAGCGATTGACCATAGCCATCCCTAGTATACTAGAGACGGCTATGGATTGACTCATTTTTTTGTGCTCACTAATTTTTAGGTGACTTGAGTTGTGTCTTCCACATTAAGATGATGGCCTACCCTAATATTGAACCATTGGTGTTAGGAATGGTCAAGGATATCCAATTTATCCGTTATTTTATGAGTTTTTATGGGAAAATCACCATTAAAAATCAAAATTTCAAAAAAATGAAAAAATGCCTGGAGATACCATGGATTAAAACCTACATATAAAATTTCATAGAAATCGGACCACGGGTGTAAGTTAGTCCCCATACACATCCAGACACACAGACATCACTTCGAAAACAACTTTTTTTGGTCCAGGGGGACCCAAAACGAATATAACTTATCCACTCAAAACTCAAACTCGAAAATTTTGATGAAAACAATAGGCCTACTTTCTCCATATACTACTATGGTGGAGGGGGAGAAAGTAAAACTATGATATGCAACGAGAACTATCAAAATAGGATTGTTTACAGTTACTTTTATGTTTTTAATTTCATGAATCATTTGTGATATTTTGCGAATCTTTAACAATTTTTATGGGAAGGTCTACAGTAACAAATCTAATCACCTTTGAGCAGTACATATATTCATCAAACTTTGATAATAGAGCCCAAGTTGATGCCTTGTTTCTCGACTTTAGTAAGGCTTTCGATAAAGTGAGCCACGATCATCTTATTGCTAAACTGAAGGCCTATGGTATTATTGGCAAACGGAACTTCTATTGTGGATTGACAATTACCTGAGGATAGACACTCGATAGTCAGATTTGCAAATGCTGAGTCTCTACCCATGAAAGTTTTGTCAGGGGTTCCCCAGGGATCTCTCTTGGGGCCTTGTCTGTTTAACATCTTTATAAATGATATAGGGGAAGTAATTGAGTCCGAATACCTGTTATTTGCCGATGATATAAAATTATTTAAAACGATCAGAAATGTTAGTGATGGTGAATCTCTGCAGAGAACTCTCGCTGGCATCGAGTCTTGGTGCAAGCAGAATTTGATGTATCTCAATGTATCTAAATGCAATGTAATATCCTTTACAAGACGTGAAACTATTGTACATATAGATTATCGGTTGGATGGTACTCCCCTGAGCCGGTGCCACGTAATTAAAGACCTTGGAGTCTATTGGAATTCTTCCCTTACGCCTGAGCACCACGTAAATGAAATCTGCAGGAAAGCTTGTGGAATCCTCGGTCTGATCTTCAGAGTGTCAAGAAATGGATTTTCAATAAAAACTCGTAACTACCCTTTACAAGACACTCCTACGCCCGATTTTGGAATATGCGTCGGTGGTTTGGAAACCTTACCATGACATCTACGTTTCTCGGTTACAGCGAATTCAGAGAAGATTTGCCAGAATGATGGGAGTTAGATGTGGCTACAACTATAGAGACGTCCCAGTTGAAGAACTTGAGTGCCTGCTGAACCTTCATACTCTGGCCAAGAGAAGAGATGTTGCGGATCTGGCTTTCTTGTTAAAACTGATCAATGGTAAAATTGACTCTCCTCAGCTGTTGGAAAAGCTGTTATTTCGAGTTCCAGGCAGTACCAGGTCTGCAGATGTTTTCTTCAGGGCGCAGTACAGGACTAACTACCTGGGTAATAGTCCGATGATCCGACTCCAACGACTAGGAAACAAATTCTAGCCTAGACAGTCTAGCCTCCCTTAAACATAAAATTCCACACGATTAATTAATTCACACCTAATTACACTTCACATCCAAATACAGATATACACCAGACTTGAGGAACTATACCACTTACATTAGAATAGGCCTACAACAGTTTAAACTCAGACATCCTACCATACGATTCAGACATACATTTTATTATCATTGTTATCGTTATTATTATTCTTATGCCTTGTTATTGTTATTCATGGTCATTCTGCATTGTTATTGTTATGTCATACTTTATAGCTGTTATTGTTGATTGATTGTATCGATGCTATTGCTGATGAAATGTTGTTTTGTCGTAATTTAATGTTTTGTATTTATATAGGCCTAATCTTATTATAATCTTAACTGATTGTATTTTGTAAATGGCATTGCCATGGAAAATAAAAATGAAAAATGAAATTTATTTTTCTCTATATTGTTTAGGTGAAGTGGTAGAATATTATGGCTATGGTAGATGTGTAATACTAAATAGTATACTGTAAATTTAAAGAAGCGAATTTTTTCAAATCGTGTCCTCCCCCATTGCAAACGCAAAGCTTGAGTAACACTTGTAACAGTGGATTTCAAATATCCCGCCAGATAAGTAAATTGGAGTCAAGCAAGCGTCACTGTGATATCGCTACCCTCCCTCTCCCCCGCCACAAGTCGGAGGGGCACGGACTTCTCTAATAAGTGACCAAGACATTCAGTGCCGTACCGTCAAGCTATCAAGTTATGAATTTTCGTTTATGGTGTAAGTTAGTGCAGTGTCGCTGATTACCGATCGGGGCATACTTCCAAATGGGTAAGTGTCCCTCCAAAAGTCAAAAGTTGTTAATTCTTAAAAAATTTCAGATTTTAATCTCAATTTTTTCAAAGTTTGTCTCGATTTTAATTTTCCAGCATCGAGTTCTTAAAGTATCGAACGTTCTCACTCTCGGTTAGAGGCAAATGTCTCTCACCTCGAGGCTCAAAATCCCTTTAGAAATTTTACACCATATAATCGAGCGGAGGCATCTGTCTCGTCGGTTCGATTATAAAAAGGCCCTCTTAATTTCAAGTAATAAATCATTTTGGTTGAGTTTTTATAAAGTGAAAAGTTAGTAAAATTTTATTTTGGAGTGTTCCATTTTGTTGTTCTGTTGGTCATGGGAAGATTAAATATGTTTTATTTTCAGAGTGTTAGTTTATCGCTTATTCTCCAACTTAAATTCCCGTTTTGAGTTTTAGGCCTATCCCTTGTATTTTAAAGTCTTACACAGTGTGTAGATAATATATTATGTTGTGTGTAGTATTTATTTATTTTTATTTATTTATTTATTTAACATCATCACATTACATCAATTCTCTTGACAGGTGATTTGTCATTAAGTCTAATAAAATTATACATTGAAAAATCTACATTATATTCCGTGTGGGGTACATATCTCGCATGGTGATACATTTACAGAGAGTGTTATCTTATAGTTTATTCTCCAATTTAAAACCCCCTTTTAAATTGTGATCTCATATTTGTATTTTAAAGTCCTACGAAGAGTGTAGATAAAATGTTACGTTACGAGTAATATTCCGTGTGCGGTAGGTATCTCGCATGGCGATATCACCGTACGTTTGAGCATAACTGTTTTAAGAAAATCATCTTGATAGGCGTTTAGTTGTGAGTTCAAGCTAATTTTCCTCTGTGTTTTGTTTTTGAAGTGGGGTGTACTTTTGGGTATTTTTTACTTGGTAGTGCGACGTAATTTGTAAATATGATTTTATTGAATATCGGGAGGGGCATCTGTCTCATTACCCACGATATCCAGTTTATCGTTCATTCTGTAAATGTACCGATTCATTATGTATCTGATAACTTGAGATATTGCAATACATTTAGGCTACTAAAGTGCTATGATTCGTCCATGAGGTGTGAAGTTCGTATGTGTAGTTTGGCGCGAGAAAGGAGCACGTTTCGATAAACTGTAAACCGCTGTGATTAAGGCTCGTTAACCATATATCGATGTATGTATTGCCATAGGTTGAGTAGTTACACAATAAATATCGATTGATTATTAGATGTGGCTAATATTTTCAACACCTGATATATTTCCTTTATACCAGGTAAAATTTAAGGTTACTATAAGGATCGAACCTTCTCTGTGGTTTATCCGAGGCAAATATAATTTATTTTGTATTGTGGGAATAATTGACAAAATAATAACTTTTACTAATAGGCTACATCATTCCCATTACAAACTACAAAAAGCATTTTACACTTATCTTTTTTAATTGGTACAGCAAGTTTGGTTGTTATGTTAGGTTAGCTTAGAACAGTTTCATTTCTTAATCCATATAATAGACTATTTTAGCCTAAACAACATCAGTTGTTAACTTGTGACAATCGGAAAACAAAAATATCGATAGGTATATCGAGAAAAAATCATCGATAATAATGAATGTTCCCTTTAACAGGAAATTACCCTATTTTTTTATTAGTAAATGATTAGTAGTTTTATTGATTAGTAGTTTTTTGAGTAGTTTTCATTTGATTTTTTTTCATTATTAGCAAGTTTGGTTAGGCTATGACGGTTTAATTTTATAATTAAAAAATTATAAGATTAATTTTATAATTTTTCTTAATTTTATAATTAAGTATGACGTCATGGATCAGAAGCCAATCAGAAGCCTTCAAATGACACTGTTGGCAAAACTAATGAAATAAATATTACGAATTATTAGGTCCCATAAGTCAGACCCTTTTTATTCTAGGGTAGACTTTAAAGCTTAATAGGCTAAAAAATAAATGGTGATACAATAATAACACAGCTCCTAATGCAAGATTGAATACGCTGTTTTCCCTCAATTTATTGTTCTTTTTAGGCCGCCTTCTCACTAGATTGCAGCCACTGGGTGGCAGCCGCAAAAAAATCACTCTGTTCTGTGTAGTATTTCTTGGGTTTTCCTCATCTGAGACGTTTCCTTTCTTCTTTGGTTCACCAAGTAATTCAGTAGGCATACCTACTGCTAATAACCAACCTCCACTACTATCCACAAATGCATTGCCCTCTTTATCCATATTGTTAACAAGCAATGAAATGTAAACTAAACAAAGCAATATGAATAACAATAGGTCTTAAAACAAACAAGCCCCAATTTAATTGAACTTATTAATTCTCCCGAAAGCTATTACATGTCTTTATTCTTAAGCTTAAGGTATCTTAGTTATGAAAATTCAGTAAAGTTTGTTTTACAGGTCGGGATGGAAGTCGTGCCTTTGTCACAGGAGATTTCACTGAGAGTGGTCTCACTGATGATGTTGAAGGATTGACTTTACAAGAACTTCGCAGTTTAAATGATTGGGTGAAATTTTATTTCAAAGAATATACTTACAAAGGTTTGCATATGAATTTTCCATTGGTCTACTTTTTTCAACTGTGGAATCAGGAGATTACATTTTACCAATCTGTGTTGTTGCTGCATTGCAAACTTAAACAGACTAATCAGAATCAGAATCAATAATCTTTATTCGTTCTGTATGTACATACAGAATAGAGTCAATACATTCAATACATAGGCTACAAATAGTTTTACAGAAATCTTAACATATATAATACTAGTACCATAGAGACATAGTACCGTAGTAACATATAGACTAGTACCATAGATGAAGCAATATAAAGAGATAGGCAGCCATATGGAGTTTAGCGTGGGATATTTTTAGCCTAGTAGTGTGCTGCTCCTAGCGGCAATATCGAGCCCTAAAAATCTGCGTTACCAACGGAAGCGCAAACAATGGCTTTGTTTCCCATTCAGTACGCAACTTCGAGCGCCCGGTTGCCGGTTCATGGATTAAGTTTACTGTGTCTGCTGCTTGATTTTTTTAATGTCACAGATGTGCGAGTTAGCATAAAAATTGCAATTACTCCATTTATATTAAAATCAACATGTACAGTAATACCTTTACTAGTGGATATTATGTCAATGAAGAATTATTTTCATATTAGGCCTAATTTAAACTGATTTAGTATGCAATATTTGTAGCACGCATGACCTTTATACATTTATTTAGCTAATATAAAAGGTTACCGGTAACTACAATTTAATTGATTTGTTATACTTCAACATTCAATCATTTACTTGGTTAAAACGCAAAAAAACTTTGTTTACTTTTCAAGTTAAAAACTCAGAATGCCCAGCTGGTTTATTTTTATTTCCACCCAAACAAATCTAGATTTTTAGCAAATTTCCCTACAGGGAAGTAGCTATTACCGTGGCATGGTTATAGGCCCGGGACCGATTTACTTTTTAATTTTGATGTCCACAGAGGCTAAAAACACTATTGGTTCAAATTGTTATATGCATATGTGTGTCAGTGAACACGATGACGCGATTAATTTTGGTCCCATTTTCCTGAATCTTGGGTTGAAGGTTTAGGGCGTGAGAAACTTAAATGATTTTCAATTCCAAAAATTTTAAATTTAAAATTCCAATGCCATTCTTATGTAAATTAAGTAAACTGTCGTAGTTTCTTTGCTTATGGATATATGTTGCCCAAGTTAATTTTGTACCCAGGATGGGCCCATAAACAGAGCCTTTATTTAAATTTTCGTTATCTTGTATTGTGATAGGTCTATTGACCCATAATTATTATGTTTACAAAAGAATGTGAGTTCATAAAGATTGTAGTTCTTTGAATTTTACTCTGGTTTGTTACTTGGGCAATACTCTTGTCGTTCCAGAAACAATTTTTAACAATAATTTTTAAGTGTAGTGTTAAAGAGTGGACTAATTTGTGAGGTACCAAATTTTAAGGGGGGTAAAAACGTATTGCTAGTCAACAAACACCGTAGCTTACCCGATTTTTATCCACAACATCTTACTCCTAGGCCTATGTGTTGGCCATAGCTTGGGCTATGGACCAAAGAACGTAGGCCTACTTTTAATAACAGTGAAGTACGCAAACACACCCACAACGATATATTTATTCATAATAGCACTTCGTTTCACATAATAAAGTTAAAACGACCGATTTTACGAATATTTAACGCCGATGACAACATCACTTAACCTCGAAATGGTGTTTGTTGACCAACGACAGACGACAACTAGACCGGCTCAACAGGTGAATTTCCGATCAGCTGTTGGCTAGTTCTCAAACTCACCACCAGAGCGATTAAGTCTCGACCGAGGAAATCATGATTTGAGCCGGACAAGATTATTCGCTGTTTGACCACCGACTAGCTCGCACGAGTTACGAATACCACGACACTACGATATTATTACGAAGGTTAGCTAGTTCGCTTAACAACTACTTATCACGTCTAAATTACCGTATATCTCGTTTTCGCTGTTTTAATACCCCGAGACTTGTCGTCTAAGTTCTAAACCCCGTCTTTGCTTTGGCGGGTGAAAGAATCAAGTCTTGGGAGCAGCTGATTAGAACAATCAAACAGCTACGAATATTAATATTAAATCTATTTTAAATCATCCCACGATAAATTCTCCATTCGATTATATTAATTAGGCCCGACGACTCTGTAGGAATTGCTTTTTACATTAGAAATCACATTGGCCTAAGATTGGATACTCGTCGGCCCTACAGAGTCATTCCAAAGGTTAGGCAAAATTCCCCAAAACACTTTTACGAAGGCTGGGATGATATAGTTCCAACTGAGCGTCTGAAGGATTTCCTGAGCGCTTCTAGAGCTCTGAGCCTTCGCTTAAATTTAAATAAATTGATCAGTCAAAGCCGTGACAACTTCGTATCGACCCCTGGATTTTTCTCGGCTCCTTCTGAGCACTCCGGGGAAGAAATTTGAGTGTGGCCGGTTCTAGGGTAGGCCTGGCCTGACTTAGGTGAATACTAGTTTATTCCCCTCTAGAATTTTGCGTCACAAATTGATTTAGCCTCGAAATAAATTGAGGGAGGATGGCTTTCTTTGAACAATGATAACGCATGCCTTATCCATCGTCAGTTTATTTTAAGTTTTTTGGTGCGATTAAAACTAATGAAAACTGTTTTGTGGATTTCAAAAGACCTTAGAATACCCAAGCCAAGATGCTTACAGTGTTCATCGTACCAAGATAAGCTCAAACAAGTTCAACACATGTAATTGCTGTAGCAATCACTTAAAAAAATTTGAAATACAGCAATATTCATATACTGTATGTATTAATCTAATGGTTATGTATAGGCCTACAAGACTCTACACTTTTAATATTTTTCAAAGATGTTCATTAGACTACTTTTATTAGTATATAATTTAAATTGAAAATATTTTTGTGTAACATATTTGTATATTTTAAGGGTTTGATAATTAATTATGCAAAACATTTGTTTGGAATATTTTTTTAAATTATGAAAAACAGAGCAACTATATACAGAGTGTATATAATGTTGTGTATACAGGCCTTTATACATTAAAATGTGTATACTAGGCCTTTACCAGCAGAATATAATGCTGCAAATTTGAACTCAAACGGACAAACGAGCCAAGAATGACAGATGTTCAAAGATTCATTTAATTTACATTAATTGCTATTATACGCTAACTCCTCAGGGGGCACAGCCCTAGGAATCGGAAGAAAATCGTGAAAGTAAGCATTAGGTCGATATGCACATCAAATTAAAGGTCTTTGTCAAAAGAACGACTCGAGTAAGAAATGGCAGTCGTTCAAAGATTTAAAATGGCAGATTTAAGAAATCTTTGAACGGCTGCCACTTTTAACTCGGTCATTGAATTCAAATTTGCGGCATTATATTATATTCTGCTATTAAAGGTCTTTAATTTGATGTCCATATCAACCTATGCTTCTATTTAAGATTTCCTTCTGACTCCTTGCGGGACGTCCCCATGATATGAGAGAAAATTGATAGTTCCTTAAAAGAATAGGTTTTTAGGTGTGGTGTTGATGTACCAAATCTTATCGATTTATCTGTTGTCGTTTAGAAAATATTAAGCCGGCGCGGGACTTAATACACCCTGTATAAAGTGAGTTTGGACATTAATAAACTGAGTACTCTTGTAAGCATAAAATTAAAATTATTTACTGAAATACTGACTAGGTTTTCACATTAGGGCCATTTCAAAGTAAACAATATAGTTAACGTAAAATAGGTAAATACCATCGTAGTGTCCAACTTGTTACATAATTTAGTCTTGATTGATATTATTTAAATACAATTTTTTATGCTTGCATTTTCTTTAATTTATCTTTCCTTTATCTCGTTTAATAAAACATTATCTCTATTTCTTCTACTTAGGGGTGTTATATGACTTTCCTATGTTTCCATAGTTTGCAAATCGGCTCTTTCAATGATTGATCAAGAAACGCAGCACAGTGTTAATTAAGTTTTCTTTTTAGTATATCAAATTGCCCAGGCTTTCTCGCTTTTCTCCATTGTAATATTTACGCCAAAACAAATTTAAATAGTAAATATTTCATTTCAACCAAGTAAGTAAATGTTTTTAGCACATGTTTCCTTAAATTTCAACTAAAACTAGTGGCTTGTAGGTACATAAGTCCCTAGAAAGCTCAAATGTAAAACAAATTATTGTAATATTTAACAAACTGAGAATAAAAATTATCTCTGTGTCAGGATTGATATCCCAGTACAACATATCTTTTGTGTAAAAATCAGTTTTTTGTTTGTCTTTGCTTTTGATGATGTTATTTTCGATAAATCATTTAGATTACTCCATAGGTTTAACTCTGCTAAAGGCAGCAAACATGTTTGTGAATAAATATTGGTTTACTACGGTAGCTTTTGTTCTTTTGGTTAATGATGATGAAAAGGCTTCCCTGATTGAAATGTTTTAAATTGTCTTCGTCAAATATGAAAAGGCAAATAAAGGTGTGTTGAGATAAATTTATTAACTTGAAAAAGCTACTATTAGCCTAGTGCAAGATTATGTGTTGGTATTCCTCCTAAAGGTGCGATTGACTACATATTCTATCAAAAAAGGGCCTAATCAACGGCTGATTACTTACTATTTTGCGACTGGTTAGGGTACAGTACCCAGTTATCGAAACCAACCACGAAACTACTTTTCGTCAACATCTTCAAAATGCATGTTGGTTGGTTTTAAGAAACGGAAACTACCTCTAGGTTTTACTGTTATATATGGTTGCTACATTTAGTACCATGTATGCTAGACTATGTTATTTGAACTTTTTTTGGTTGGGGCAACAGGCAGTACTTGGGTTAAAATCTCCTCCAAACAATATTTTTTTCGGCCCATTAAAACTTGCTATAAAACTAACATATGTTTTGAAATCAAAACAAAGCAGAAGTTTTGCATTTAATCTTGAATTGTTTATTATTTATTCAATGTAAACAATCCTTCAATACAACAATAACCTTCAAATTAGAAGAAAAGCTTCAGTATTTTT